AAACAAAACAAAAACAAAACAAAAAAAAAACGAGCGCACAAAAAAATAATCCATCTTCACCCATGGAGGGCTCCGCCCAGACTGAGCTCTGCAGGGCGGGGGAAGGCTTATAAAGCCTTGCCACGCCCTGCAATTAGGCTAAGAACACTCTGATTGGCTGGTTTAAGCCAATCAGAGTGCTCTTTGTCATTTTACACAGCGTGGGAAAATTCTAAATAACTTTCCCATGCTGTGTAAAATGACACAGAGCACTGTGATTGGATGGCTTGAAATCCATCCAATCACAGTGCTCTGTGTCATTTTACACAGCGTGGGAAAATTGAACTTTGCTTTGGTGAGTGTCTTTTCAATCATTTTAACTTCCACCTTTGTTGTAGGGGTGTAGTGTGTGAGAGGTGTGTATTGTGTTTGTGTGTGAAGGTTGCATAGAGTCTATGCTGTGTGTAGGTGGATGAGATGTTGAAATCTTATTGTCTCCCCCTTCCTTCTTCTTACCTTTTACCAGGCAGGTGGGCCATAATGTTGCAAACCCTGGTGGTCCAGGGGTGGCATGTTCACATAGAAACATAGAATGTGACGACAGATAAGAAACAATCAGCCCATCTAGTCTGCCCAATTTTCCTAATACTTTTATTAGTCCCTGACCTTATCTTAAGTCTAGGATAGCCTTATGCCTATCACATGCATGCTTAAACTCCTTCACTGTGTTAACCTCTACTCCTTCAGCTGGAAGGCTATTCCATGCATCCACTACCCTCTCTGTAAAGTAATACTTCCTGATATTATTTTTAAACCTTTGCCCCTCTAATTTAAGACTATGCCCTCTTGTTGTGGTAGTTTTTATTCTTTTAAATATTGTCACCTCTTTTACTGTGTTGATTCCCTTTATGTTTTTAAATGTTTCTATCGTATCCCCACTGTCTCGTCTTTCCTCCATGTTAAGATCCTTTAACCTTTCCTTGTAAGTTTTATCCTGCAATCCATGAACTAGTTTTGTAGTCCTTCTCTGAACTCTCCCCAAAGTATCAATATCCTTCTGAAGATATGGTGTCCAGTACTGCATACAATGCTCCAAGTGAGGTCTCACCAGTGCTTTGTACAATGGCATGAGCACTTCCCTCCTTCTACTGCTAATTCCTCTCCCTATGCAACCAAGCATTCTGCTAGCATTTCCTGCTACTCTATTGCATTGTCTGCCTACCTTTAAGTTAAGAGAATAGGTCCAAATACAGATCCCTGAGGTACCCCACTGGTAACAAAACCATGCTTCAAATATACTGCATTGACTATAACCCTCTGTTGCCTGTCATTCAGCCACTGCCTAACCCATTTAACTTTAGCCTTTAGCTCCTCTGGCTGAAGGCTGACTCTCCTGTCCTCGTGTGAGCACTGCCCTGTATCGGAGCATTGCCATGGTAATGCGTGGCAACGCTCCGACCCGCCTGCTTGTGGGAGGAACACAGTGCCTTCCAGGCCCTTCCCTCCCTCAGCTGGAACTAAGTGCCAACGGGATGGTGAGGGAGATCTTTGATCTCTTCACCAGCCTGAGAGGGCTTACAGCAAGGCTGGGCCCACCGTCGAGGCAGAACCCACAACCGCGCACCTGAAATCCCAAACCGCCCACAAGTGGGAGGTATGGACTAGGTTGACAACCATTGCTATAGACTGTCTATAGAAATAAAATATCAGCATTTACCTGTGAGGTCTCACCTCCCTCTCATTCCATGATCAATCTAGTATGTCTTCATTAGCTCCAACTTACTAATTTAATGTGGCCACACCTTCACATAACATGTGCTAACAACTTCCTTGTTAAGACAGCTTGGTGCAACAGTGTGTTGCTCAGTTATTCTGTTTCTACAGAATGCTGCAGTACTTTTCCCTGAGCTTACTCTGCTATATTCAATTGTTATCAGCCTTGCTAGTATAAACAAATATGTTGCCTTCACAAACTTGGGATTTGGATCTGAATTGACCTTGCATTTCTAGCGAATCTGTACCTAAACTTTAACTTAAACTTTTAACTCCTCTGCAGCTAAACTACTCTTGCAACAGCCTCTCATAAAACATCAAGTATTTAATTTGGATTTGAGTTCCACAGCTTAACACATCCTGACATTACTTACACAATTATGTAAAAACTTGAATTACTATGTTGATTAAAAATGAATTATATTCTCTGTTAATTATATATGTATTTGTTCATGCTATTGGGATTTGGGATGGTGTCTCCCTCATTTCTCTCACCACAAGTCTAACCACACTTTCCATAAACATACAGGGGATCCGAATGCCCCCAAAATAATATTAGCCTTAATCATGTTCCACCAATAAAACTGGACCACAAGAAGTCCAAGATAATCATAATTCTCCACCTTCAATATCAAATAAAATAGGCACCAGATGGTAAAATTGTATGCAACATTAGCCAACTAATATAATTTAATTTTTGTATTGCATTAGCATAGACTGGAATATTTTATGATTCAAGTCACACCCAGAGAGCTCAGATAAAAAAAAAAACATTATTATACATTTATATAATATACTAAACAGAGCCAAACACACTCTCCATAAAAATACTTTCCTAAAAGCTATAAACGCAATAATCAGTGCAAATCAAAAGGAAGATAATCAGATTTTGACACAGGTGCATACACGTGTTTTATATATATGTCGAAGGCAAGTTCATTGTACGTCTCTTACAGTTCTTTTTATCAACTCTCCATAATTATATTCTGCAAGTGTAGTACATTTTCTGTAATGTTTCAGTTTATATGCAGAAAATCTAATGAAACCAAGTGTTGTTGTGTTCAGCATGAAATATTAAAATAGATTATTTATGCATTCTACCATATTATCTCTAGTATCTATTCATATACATATAAAGTGTTTTGAATTTGAACTTATATTGTAATTCTGTTATTACTTTCCATGGAGATAGAAACAAATAAAAAAAAAACTAAAACAAAACTCTATTAGTCCAAACCTCAACTGAATAATTTGTAAATATTCAATATCTGCACGGAAACTCATATCCAAAGATTGAGTCGGTATATTAGTTTGCATTTCTTTAAAATAGAAAGCAGTGCATTATGCATTACACCAATTGTTTATTGAACAAAATAAATATGCACTAAAACAAATGAACATTACAAGTCATGTGTGCTACATTTGTAACAAGTTTTATCAACAGAATGATACTACAATTTACACCCAGCACAATAATTTAAAATGTGCTAATGCATAAACTGAAAGCCAGATAAAGTGAAATAGAGTGTAAGCAATATTGAACAGATTGGAATATAACCTACTTAAAATTCACTGACAAATCAATTATTTTTTTCTATTATTATCCTAGACCCTACTATTATGAGCCCACATTACATACGATATAAAAAAAATAAAAACGTTGCAGTAACATATACCTGCTAACTCACCATGTGGATCACAGTAGATGGTTACGTATAGCAATAAACTTTAGTTAATAAATAAAAAAAATTAAAAAAACACAAATCCCACACCTCAGATATGTGAAAGCAGGTAACCTGGAGCTAACACTATGGAAAAAATGGGCTAAACAGCAAACAAAAGTAAAAAAAAAAAATCGTTGTAACATACAGAGATATCATTATTATCATTGCCATTTATATAGCGCCAACAGATTCCATAGCGCTTTACAATATTATGAGAGGGGGATTTAACTATAAATAGGACAATTACAAAAAACTTACGGGAACAATAGGTTGAAGAGGACCCTGCTCAATCAAGCTTACATTCTATAGGAGGTGGGGTGTAAAACACATTAGGACAGGAATTATCATAAATATTAAATACTTCCAAATGAGTCCTTTAAAAATTCATAATAAGTTGTTTCTTAGTGCAATCCAAAGTTTTACCAGTGCCTGAAATAAAAACCATAGACATATAGTGTACACTGTAAAAAGAAACTTTACATTTCAAACACAAAAACAAATTAAGAATCAGTCGCTAATTAGCAGACTCCTGGAAAAGAACTTGGTCATCAGCTGTCTGGCTGAAGAAAATTGACCTGTAAGGGTACATAACCATGCGCTGCATCACTCACCTGGTT